GACGAGGGTAGTAAGAAAGCTGGTAGTAGAGATCCATCGTTCCTCCCTTAGAAAGTTTCTGGAAAAGCTTGTAGCAGTTGAATGTCGTTTATATCAAAATTTGGAATCGAGCAATTGGAGGAATTGTTTGCACACCATTGAACGCACCTTTCGAGGACAGTATTATGCTCCACAAACCTTTTAGATTTTCTCAGACTCCTGATTGAATTTTCCTCATCTGTCCAACCCCTTCGAAATTCATTAAGATTTGCTTGTTCAAATAAAAGATCGCCGTCTGTAGATTCGGCCAGAGCAGCCCAATATTTCTCTCAATAGCGATGCCATCGATCCTCCAGGGATATCTCATTGAGCACAAACGCGAAGAAAGAATCCGACCATTGCAAATTTACGAGTAACACGCTTCAAGCAAGTATAATGCAAATGTGACAAGTCCGCTCGTTGTTTTTCAGTAAAAAGAGGGTATAGAGCAAAGAGCCACGTAAAGATGGGAAGTACGTAGCAAGAAAACAAAACTCTTCTTAAGTCGGCAGAAGTAAATCCGGAAATACGGCAGGAATTAACCATTGCTACGCGCTGTCGAATATTAGTCATGCATTTTTTAATCATAGTTCCCCATCCCAGTTTCGGAGTTATCCAGTATCCTAAATACTTAAATGCCTTAACCCAATTAATTTTGTGCTCGCCGGAAAAAATATCGAATCTGGAGGTCCTAAGGCTCGAGCAGGCCAAAGAGCTTCTGTTTTTTGATAATTAATCGGCTGTACTGTAAGGGTTGCGTATGCTTCTAGTCTTTCAAAAAATAGTTTAAGCCGTTTTTCTAGATCAAGACGCTGTTCAGTATATCGAACCCCTATTCGACGTGCCATGACTGCCGCTAGGTCGTCGGCAAAGAAAAAAGAAAGACAATAACTTAAGAAGTCCCCCATATCAGCATGATAAGTTATAAATAGGATGGGGGTAAAGACTGAGCCCTGGGGTCCGCCTCTTTTGATTGTAAACCAGCGGGACCGTTTGCCTTGAATCTCTACAAATGCCTTCCTATTCTCAAGCCAACCTTTGATTCATTTTAAATAGGCTTTTGGGATACCCATCCTCCTTAACTTTCCTAGGCAGCCATCGAACCACAACTGGTCAAAAGCAGATTTAAAGTCTACAAAAACTGTTGCAACTGGGGAACTATTAGCCATATATGACGAAACCTGCTCCAAAAACAGAAGCACTCTGGTCTGGAGGCGATATCCCTCTCTAAAACCCGATTGAGTATCCGGTAAGATCCCCCTAACTTTTAAAATTTCGCGGAAGCGTGTTACAAACAGTTTTTCATTTATTTTCAAAAAAATGTCGAGTAGAGAAATGGGTCGAGTCAGAGCGGGAGCACAAATTGAATCTTTTTTTGAGAGGATAATCATTCTTACGTCTTTCCACAAAGATGGAAACACTGTAGAGGATAATGAGAGATTAAAAATTTGAAGTACAAGAAGCCAGTGAGTAAGAGGCACAAAATTTAACATGAAACTAGACAAGCCATGTGCATCGCAGGAAAGCTTTTTCTTGCACGAGTTAATAACTTCCAAAATCTCATGAACATCGGTGGGCGTGATTTTTTCTTCATAGTTTTCCCAATCTTCCCATGGTGCGTCCACATATGGATGAGGACGTACTACCATAGGTTCCTGAAATAAGTTTTCATAGTGGTCTGCGGCTATCTCCACCATTTTTTCAGGGTCTTTTTCAAATTCGCCCGAAGGAGTATAAAGGCGTGAAGAGAAGAAGTAGATGGTTTAAAAAATCGTTTTGTTTTTGACCAAAACGATACCGAAATCGGAGCAGACGAATGACGAGCCAGTACGTACGCTTTCAGCTGACCCGAGAGAAATGTTGTTAATTCATTTTTTGCTTGTCTTCTTAATAAACTAACATGTTTTTTCAAAATTAAATCACCTGATTTTTTCTGTTTGAATGAGAGAGCTCTAATATAAGATAGCCGAGAACGAAGTTGTCCTGGTATAGCAACACGATACTTGTCTAGTGGGAAGTATGTGGTACAACGAGCGCATAATAAAAAAAGAAATTGGACATAGTCTCCATAGGTTGTATCGATTCACTTAATATCCCATCGTTTTTCCCAAAAAGTGTAAACGTATGACAAGAATAGAGAAAATACTTTCCAGTGTATATTACGGCCATGAGATTGCTCCTTCGATTTTGCAGATACAATAGAAAGTATTGGTTTGTGATCACTAGAAGTTCCTCCTTCATACGTCTGGATACAAAGAGATGTTCCCGAACAAAAAGCGTAATCGATAATCCTATCGGAGCGAAGTGAGGTGGGAAGATGGATTAAATATGAAGCTAAAGAGCAGCTATCTGCCCACTCTAGAATTTTTTCGGCGCTTGCTCCATCGGATTCTAGATCAATGTTAAAATCCCCGAAAATAGCACATTTTTTGGTAGTGAAACGTGAAAGATCGTCCCATGACCAAGATTTGCTCTCCGGCGCATAAACTCCTAAAATTCTGAACACCTCATCTAGCTCAACCTCAACTACACAAACATTTGCAACTTGGCAATCAACACGCTTACCTCTCAACTCATTTCTAGCTAACATAACAACACCTCCATTGCCGTTTTCTCCTTTTTGAAAAAATATTTTGGCGAGGAACGACAGATCAACTACTCCGACCTCTAACAAGATCATTACATCAAATTTCATATGATTAGCGAGAAGTAGAACCTCATTCCATCGGGCAGTAAGGCCTCTGACATTAAACGATAGAATGTGCAAAGAAAAAACGGAGAAAGAGAGATCTGGTCTAACATACCTCTGCCAATTCGAAAAACAGAAAGAAAGTGTGAGACAACTTTCCCACTCCTCAAGAATTTTACAAAATAACAAAAAATCAAAATGAGACAAAGAGGCCTGAGCTTGTAACAAACAAAATTCTCGCTCAATCATCCTGGTTTTGGAGATGCATGAAAAAAAAGGGGGCGCACAAGGAGACAGAGTCATTGAAAATTTTTACCCTGAGTACAGTTTTTCAGTTGAGCACGCATACGGTCCATTTTTGCACGAAAATCCGCATCCAACACTCTACCACCACTATCCTTGTTTAATGAGGCTGTAAATTTCGTAACTTCATCCAATATCGGCAACACTAGTTTCATAACAATGTTTTCATGTCGAGTAGAGATTATATGTTGCTGTCTGACATTGGTTTCGGTTGTTGCTTTATTCATTTCGAGTGCTTGAATTCTTTTATCGAATTGTATGTCCGATTCAATCTTGTCAGCCGTAAACTTTTCAAATTGTTCAGTTTTGCGTGCCAATATTTCGATATTGTCATTCAGTTTATTCGTACACTTATTAAGACATCTAATTTTAACAAAATCGAATTAGTGGTCGTATTGGGTATAGACTCAAACTGAGCCGAAGCGAGACGTGGAAAATCAGCCGGACAATCGGTTGAATAAGACGAAGTTGGAGGAAGCGATAGTAGTTTCCTCGTCAAAGATGCACGAAATGATTTCAGCACCGGGCATTTAGGGTCGTTGGAATTGTGAGATGATCCACAATGAATACATTTGGGCACGAACGAACACTGATGTTGTTTAATATCGTGGCAGGAGACCCCACAAACTTTGCATGTTTCATTGACTTGTTGACACTGACGTTTAAAATGACCAATTCCTTGACATTTCGTACAGATCAACACCTTCGCCTGTCGTAAATATTGTTCTACATCATAACTAATATAGTTCACCATTATTTTTCTCCGTTCGAGAACTGTATTTCTCTCTTCGACTGATTTGAATTCAACCTTGAGTAACTTAATATCCGTTTGATTTTTATTCTTTAAGCGTATGACATTCTCTGCCGATGGATTATCATTTTTCAAATCATCAGTAAAGCTAGCGATATTAATACGTAAACTAACGTTTTTAACGACAATCGATAATTGAGGGGGAATCAAGGGCTTTGAAGGGAACGTACATAATCAAAGGCAATTTTTGATGTTGATCACGAACCGGGTATTCATTTGGACCCATATGTTCTTCAAAGGTTGAGTTTGGGCTGAGTTCAAGCAATTGTATTCTATAAAAGGATGAAAACTTAAAGCTCTGCTGTGTGCATCCGGATGTAAAATTACTCAGCCTAAACTCAATTTTTAGGTCTGAAAATGTTCCGATACAGATAACTGAACATGCTCTGCAAGAGAGGCAGATCAAAATCTTTTCATTTTTAATTAAATACGGATGTTAGGAGTCCCCTTTTCCGAAGATTCACTCCAAAAGCTTATATGAGTCCCAGTGAATACCAGATTCGTGATAAACATAAAAAATTACCTATAATCATGTATGTTTAAAGGAAAAAGCGAGAAATCACTTCAGGACATTCCGTCGTTACTGTGCATCAGTTATCCAATACGGTGGGCTAGATATCAGGTTGGCAAGAAAGCTTTTGCGTTTTTTTTAAATTTTCTAGAACAGCCGAGAAAGTTCTAGAAGTTTCCATACTAAGGGTATATAAAGGGGGTAGGAATATCTTTCGAACAACAAAACTATGGATATGGACGTTGATCTCGAATTAAAAATGAACATATCTCGTAGAGAGCTCCGAGTACTTCTGCTTCATGAATTCCGTTTGGGTCCCAAAGCAACGGAAGCAACAAGCAACATATGCGGCACGATGGGCAAGGATGCACTCTCCATTCGTACAGCGCAACATTGGTTCAATCAGTTCAGGAACGGTAACTTCGAACTCGACGATTTACCTTGTTCCGGAAGACTACTAGAGGTGGATATAGATGTCTTAAAGCAGCTTATCGAAGAAGATCCTAGATTGACTACACGGTGTTTAGCAGAGCGACTTGGATGCTCTCATACTACAGAGGAAACACATCTGGCTGAATTAGGCAAAACGTGGAAATATGGAGTTTGGATACCACATGATTTATCATCGCATCAGCTCCAACACAGGGTTGATGCTTGTATGGAATTAATGACATCTCACCGCAACTACCAATGGCTCCGCAATCTTATTACTGGCAATGAGAAGTGGGTGTAGAATGTTAACCACACGCGCAAGCAACAGTGGTTAGGAGCTGGACAAACAGGTGTAGCAACGCCCAAAAATGACCTTCATCCAAAGAAGATTATGCTGAGTGTTTGGTGGGGAGTAAAAGGGATTATTCATTGGGAACTTCTTCCAACTGGTTGCACCATCACTGCTGATTTCTGTTGTAAGCAATTAGACCGAGTTGCAACAAACCTCCAGGGGAAGCAAGATAGAATTTATTTTTTACATGACAATGCCAGACCGCACATTGCAAAGTCGACGCGTGAAAAATTATTGAAGCTCGGATGGGTTACGGTTCCACATCCACCTTATTCTCCAGACTTGGCTCCCACAGACTACCACTTGTTCTGTTCTCTGTCTAACTATTTACGGGAGAAAAAGTTCGACGACGAGAACGACCTCAAAATGGACCTCGCCAACTTCTTCGACCAAAAGTCCCAGGACTTCTACGAATGCAGGATCCTTTCTCTGCCACAGCGTTGGCGACAAGTCATAGACAGTAATGGAGCATACATTGTTGAAAGCTAGTTGTATTCTTGAAGTTAAAAAATAAAAATAAAATTTTCGAAAAAAACGCAAAAACTTTCTTGCCAATCTGATAATTTCTGAGTTCTGTCTGCTCGGTCTTAAGGTGTCTACCTCTATACGAACACTTCAGCTTTTCTATGCATCATTTTCATTCTGCTTATATTTTGATCCGCAACAGATGTGTTCTTCTGCATCATACTACATTCTGCAAATATAACTACCGCAATAAATATCGTTCGTAATCACCAATTATGTCTTTCACCCAAGGAATGGAAAAAGGCGAATCCGAACTAGGCAAAACAATAGATCATTTCTCTGCGCAGGATTTCATGACATTATTAGCAAAACTTAAACCAGCAATGAGCCCGTTAGAGTCGAAATTGGCTTTCGTGTAATCTGAATTGAGTACCATGAAACACAATCACGAGCAAATTCAAAAAGAACTAGAACTAACAAAATCAATGAATGATCTACTAAAACAGCAAGCTGCTGGAAAAATTAATAATACCATACGTATCGCATAGGCCATATTCCAGTCTTCCGAAAGATATATTCAGTATAGTACCTCATTATAATGATCTAGTAGATAATGAAGCTTTAAATGGAATTTTGACACATATGATTTGGAAATCAACAATGAATCATTTTTACTGAAAGACGGTCAATTAAATGACAAACACATTCAAACGGTAACAAGCAGTGGGTTACAGCTATCAAGAATCATTTGCGCGTATGATATTCTTTTTCGACATACCAAACAAAAACAAAATATCTCTTACTCTATCAATCCACATTCTTCTACACCCTTCTCTTTGGGCGACGTCTCATTTTGGAGCTAAGGGTATTTGATTTGATCTGAATAATAGGAAAAATGTTTTATTGTAAGAATCTGCTAGCTTTCAATGCCGAGTTTAGAAGATTCATATTTCCTCAAGAGAAGATCTGGAGAGTCCAGAGTGATCACATTTTATACCGGAAGTTGACTTTATATTAGCTCAAAATCAATATTTTGAGAAACATAAGAAAGGGAATGTATCTTTAAGCGCATCACCTCCATCTTATCATCTCACAGTCTATTAATATTGTAGAAATATATAAGGGATTTTTTGGATGAAAAATATATGAACCGATCGTTACGTTTTACCATAATATAGATTTGTCAAAGCAATGAAGAGACTTACGAATATTCTATATACAATTGATACGCACCTCGAAAGTCCTTTACATTATTATGCATTAATAAAGCGAAAGACAAAACCTTCGATGGTTCGTACAGCTCTGATTGATCAAGTGAACAATGATGATTTTTCCATGTCAAGAAGACACGAATCTGGTATTCACTGGGACTCATATAAGCTTTTGGAGTGAATCTTCGGAGAAGAAATCTCCTAACATCCGTATTTAAATTAAAATGAACTTTTTCCCTCGACTGCAGACCAAATCTGCGTTTTGAAAAATGAGGTATACCGATATCGAGAATGTGTGAGTTGTTTCTTGAACGGTTTGTAATTCCGACGCTACTGAATCGGTGTGTTCCGATGGACGGCACTGATCGAACGAACAGTCTTTGGTCAGTTAGATAACTCATGTATTCTCCTAAACGTTTTTTTGCGTCTAGATACACACAATACAATCACTCATATATCACATATGTGGTTTCTATAATTCTTAGAATTAGTTGCGCAAAGTAAGAATTGAGATGACAATTTTATGGTAATTTTGATAAAAACTTTATATGATAAAAGTACGACGTTTTCGTATTTCAAAAATAGTAAGACTGTCTACATTTTTCTTTTTGTCTGCTCAAGATTGTCATAGTCTCTTAGGAAGCCAATCGATCCTACGGCAAAAACCAATCATCTCTGTCTTAACCGCATTTTGCTCTATCAAGCTGAAATGCGCATTATAAAAGGATTTTAGAGACTGAAGTGAGTACCACGAAGAGCTTTCTTCCCTCCTTAGAAAATGTAAAAATAAACAAACTGATGATTGGCTTTTTTTTCTTAAAAATTTTACGTCATCAAAAATGAACAATTTTATAGTCATCCTACATCACATATGGCTAGTCCTAATCAACGTTCAAAAGGTGGTGTAACTATGTTTTGTTCTATGATATTATCGGTTTATTTCTTATAATTGTCACACTATCTGAATTGAAAACATTATACATGCAAATGTCAATAAGTGTATCATGTGAAACTGGTTTCGAAGGTTTCGAAGAAAACATCAAATTCCTGAGCGAGCCCTTAGGCTTCTTTTCCTATCAGAAATACAAAATTTTTGTAAAAAAGTCAGTATTGAACTAAGTACTATATTCGGGAACCCAACAGAAACAGAAAATATATGTATATAGTAAAACTTTGAAACGATGTGACAAGATGCAACTCTTGTCTTCGAAATAATTTATTTTTCCCGACTTGACAGGATTTTGATACAAGTAACAAGTGGAAAACTATTTCTTCACCGTCACTGAGTGGACAAAAATCTGAAAAAGTTTCCATTTGAAGCATTAAATAAGCGCTTTTGGATTCAAGAAGGATTTTGGTCTCGTATGAGTTTTTCTCTTCTAAACGACGACAGTTCTATTCTGGACTTTGCTTTTTATTTTTTTAAAGACAGTAAAGCAGTTATTCAAGTTCTGAATTGATATCTAACACAATGAAGGCAGAGTGTGACGCACGCAAACAATTTGAGAAATTTTCAGTCGGATGATGTAGTATGAAACTAGTTACAACAATTCAAATTGAAGGAAAGTTGGTTTGCAGATATTTCCGTTTTTTATGCTTTGTTAGCATTTCAAATATCATGAGAACTTGAAAGTTTTATTAAATTTTATTCTCAGTAACTCGCGGAAGATTCGGGATCCTGTTACCGAAAACTTCGTCGCGAAATGTCGACATATCGCAATTTTGAGTGTCGAAGTACAACGGCGCAATACTAACGTAAATACTCAAATATTAGTCTCTGAATCGCATATTTAATTAATGAGAAATTCAACTTCAGATTATGGAACGATAAGCACTGGTAACATGCGAAAAAAGATGAAAAAGATAAATGAACAGTATGGCAGAAGAGCGTAAGGTACTACTGATAAGTTTCATTGAAGAAAATATTAATGTACTTTGGCAACTGACCCAAACCTAAGTCTTAGACTTGGGTACCCAAACCCAAGGCCAATACACCCAAGTCGCTTAGGTTTGGGTTTGGATTTGTAACATACCTAAAGCTAATATAAATGTTTTTATTATAATTTCCATTTTCTTTTGATTTACGTTCAAAATGTAAATTTTTTAATCTTGACGGAGTATATATACCAAAATATTCTTGAATAAAATTCAGTTTTCACAAGTCAAATTCTTCAAGTTATCTGTCCATAAAAAATGTGTTTTCGACTTTGAAATGCCGTAAACTACAAGACACCCACCGACAGATAACAGGAATATGGAATAGATAGGTGAAGTAGAAGAAGAATCTTTTCAAGAATCTTACTTGTTGAACAATTAACACCTGAGGTGCCGAGTGCACATGAACGCTGGTAGTACGGACTTGTTGTCGAATTGACCGAGCAGATTCCGCCATTTTGACATGGATTAATTGTACAAGGCATTTAGTACAGAATTTAATTCTTTATCCACTGATATACTTTCTGAAACTTTTTAAAAACTAAGTAGCTCAGAAAATTTAAATAAAAAAACTTTAAAATTTTAAATTTGAATTCTCGATTTAAAAATTTGAGTTTAGTTCGTTGTAAAGTTGATATTCGTCATCAGCGCAAAAAACTGCGTCTAATGATGTGCTTTTAAGGCTGGTTTGACAGAAAAAATATCGACATAAAACATAAACAGTCGCATCAACAGCATTTCGAATATGTCGGATATGGATCACAAAAGTTCAAGCTGCTGATGGCACGACGTTGCCTCTACGAAAAGGAGTTAACGAACTACTTTTTGTGGCCCGCGAGAGCACACAAATGATTTCTATACAAGTAATTGTAGCATTTCTTATTATCACTCTTCCTTTTTTCTCTCGGATTTAATAAAATCTTATATCGGCTCTATTTTGAACAAGTATACTGAACTGAAGTAATAGCAGTGCTTGATACAAGCTTAGATGGATATTCTTTTCCTCTTTCTGTTCGTTCACACGATAAAATACGAAAAGAGGAAATGGAAAGAAAAACATAGAGTCACTGGCCTCAATTAGAACACGAAAATGTTTCATGTTGACTCTTTTCTAATTTCTGCAGCCATTTCTACACGTGGAGGGAAAATGTTCAGTTTCCCGAGTAGAGGAGAGTCAGGGCTATCGATCTGTGTAAAAATATTTAAGATTCTTTCACTCATTTGTTTTAAATTAAGACAAGAATGAAGGCTATTATAAATTTCTTTTCTGTCTATTCCAGATTAGCACACGACGTGCATTTTCTACTCCTAAATCGAACACGTCCATATAAATACATGGGAATTTCAATCAAGTTGAAGAAAAAAGTGTTTTTTGCTTAAGATGCAGCTAATGCAAAATTGGAGCAGATTTTATTTTTCGATTTATCATACATATTCTAATTTGTCTTGCTGAGCCGATCACGAATATCACCTTTAAAACCTTTTAAAGTCTTTTTTTCTCGAGAAAAGCCTGAAATACTGCAAGGGTCTAAAACATCGAAAACATGACCTTTATCGTAGAATTGTTTTTTTTGAAGTTTTATATTACAAGACGGAAAGTTGAAACTATTTTTGTCTTAATCAGCGCTGAAAGCTGATTTAGAAAAAGGTCTTCAGTTCATTTTAAAGGTAAACAGTCGTCCGCCATGGATGTCCGAACCAACGGCTTTCAACTGAGTCTGACTCATTTTGTAAACCTATCTAGTTTTTTGGGTGAAGGGCTATATCGATGATTCACACACCATCAGATCGGCCAACACGCCAACTTTAGAAGTTTGATGAGCTTTTTTCAAAATTCTTTGTCCTTGGTGAGAAAAACTGCTTTTACCGAAAACCAAAGAGAAACAGCGAGGAGATCTTTGGAAAACCAGGCCGTGTGGAAAAATTTTCAATAGGATTGTATTGATTTTCTTCCAAGCTATGATAGCCCAAGGTATCCTCTTCGAAATGAGAGTCAAGTGAGACCTTGGTTTTCCGCGGCTCGGATGTTGTGTCAGATTTCTTTAGAGTTCCAGGACTGGCACCCGATGACTACTGGTAGCAATGAAAACGGATGGACTATAGGTAATCGATCATGCTGAGTCTTGTGGATCCGATAGTGTTAAAAATTTAAATCGAAGATAATCAGATTCCAGTTTAGTGGAATCATTCGAGTAGTCGGTTATTGACATTTTAGTAATATTATTTCTTCAGAACAAAATAATTGATTCTGGACATATTACTAAAACCGTATGATTATTAAAGCATGTATTGCTGTTAAAATACGCAAGAATAAAAAGAAACGGAATGTTATGCTTGAATAAATATCGAGCATAAAGGTAGTCACAGTTTAAATGTCTTAACGCTAGGTTTTAGAATTTGAAAGAAGAACTTTTTATTTTCTATCAGAGATTTAGGCCAGTCATACTTGGCGTTAATATATGTTTTGGTGCTGTCCAACTGAAAAAAAAAGAAATGGAACTACAATGTAATGAACATTTAGGAAAAAATTTTTCAGAATAAATTAATTAATGTTACATGCGAAAAAAACTTTTTATTTTCCAATTGCTATGGGTTAGTTCCTTTCGAAAGGCTGTCTTTTTACAGTGTTAAATAGTATTTTCTTTTATTCCACACTTTTAAATTATCATTTGCTATTTGATTAATAAACTTGCGTTTCCAGCTGTTCAGTTAGATAAACAACTTTTTTTTCTCAAAATGAGGCGCGATCAACCGTTATGCCCGTGATTTGGATTTGGTGTTTTCTTCAGAGCTTTCTTTTCTTCCTTATCTTCAAATGTTTCAGTAAAGCTTAGGTAAGCTTCTTTTTCGCCTGTTTCAATCTCATCGATACGTCACCCAATCCAGCTAGAATATGTTACGGAATTGCGCAGACTCTAATGAAATTCCTGGAGAAATCCACAATAATTTGAATTTCCACATTGACTGTGGCTTCATCTATCAATCCCCTTCCCACCGTGTATGCAGACGACTCAAGCCGCTCCCTGCCTAGCGTAGTATTTTTCACATTGTGTGTGACACTTCATCGATGGCTGTCAGGCGGAGCGTGATGGACCGAGAGACCCAGGAAATTATTATATAAATAGCTTATTTAAAGTTACTTTTCAAATCTAGCTATTGGCGGTGAATGTGAAAAACTCGATGTGAAATAATAATATCGTATACAGTTGATATTTACCTACCACCACTGCTTCGCATTATTAGCTTGGAAAAAGTTTTAAAAGTTCCATCAAGAACTGTACAAATAAATCATCAGCATATGTCAAGCATGTCGAATTCTATCAATAATGCCTCAGACCCTACAGAATGTGGCGAGATTATACCACACTATATCGGATCTTACACTATCGGATCCACAAGACTCAGCATGATCGATTACCTATAGTCCATCCGTTTTCATTGCTACCAGTAGTCATCGGGTGCCAGTCCTGGGACTCTAAAGAAATCTGACACAACATCCGAGCCGCGGAAAACGCTTTCATGCGCTCGATATCCGGTCGCCGGAATCATCGTTGATCTCATCATATTATATTTCGCTTTAACCACAAGTATGCTTATCAGTTTTGGACAACAGTAAAAGTAGAAAGTAGGACATATACGGACGTCATTAGTGAGAGCAGGAAAAGTAAGAAAAGTGAAGCCTAAATATTATATATCCGTTCCTTGAATGTTTAATTACAAATACAATAGTTAACATTCAAGTACGACGGGTACAAGTTATGAAGTTAAACGGTTTGCAACGTTTAATGTAACAAATAACAGTACAAAATTTCTCGTCGACTGTCAACGATTAAAGATGAGCAAAGCCATATGAAGAGCAGTATGAAACCGATGAACAAATGACACAATATAAGGTAACAATTTTAGCTGTTTTTTTCCGAATAAGCCAGTTCTTCACGCTTCGGAAAAAAAACCTGGCTGACACTAGTTGTGCTCTAAAACGTTTCTTTTGGTTTTACTTTTTCACTGTAATTATTGATATGAATCTTTTTTATCTTTCTGTTTTTGCAGATCAACGCTACCTATTCCTGTTATGATGCAAGTCATTTTTATAATGTTAAATGGACAACAATTGAACCACCGTTCGAATGAAGTAAATGGTCCCAAGCGTTTCTTTTCTTACCTTGATGAATCACTTTCGGACTTCTCGCATATATTCAACAACGTTAGGCTTATAATCGCTGCAAGTACGACTTTTCTATGTTTAACCGCGAAAAATGTGGAAAAAGTACGAGAGTTAAATAACGGAACAATTGTTCAAGGTGTTACTGGCGGTAGTCCATTATCAACATTAATCGGTTTCCATCCCGTTACATCTCTGCCCAATGATATCATGCATGATTATGCCGAAGGCGTTTGTCCACTTATCATTGTCGCGCTGCTCAAGAAAGCATCAACGAAAAGGTTATTCAGTTATCGTCAAGTCGAAGAAAGAATATCAACGTTTGAATATGGCACGAATGATGCCACAAACACACCTCCAGCCATTCGAGCAAAACATTTGGCAAAACACAGTATAGTTGGCAGCGCTAGTCAAAAACTATGTTTGTTTCGTTTGTTTCCCATTATATTTTTTGACATTATCGAACACCTCGAAAAATTCGAATTGTACGTCGTATTGCGAGAAATTATTAATTATGTTTTCGCTTTACCGTTTCGTCGCAGTTGGTTAGCCTATTTAAATACACTTACAACTCGGTTTCAGTGTTTAATGATTCATCATTTACCGGATCGTGTAATACCCAAAATCCATTTTACGACGGATTACTCCAGATTAATTGATATGCACGGTCCTCCGATTCGGTACTGATGCATGAGATTTGAAGCTAAACATCTTTATTTTAAACAAATAGCTTTACGATCGTTTAACTTTAAAAATGCACCTTTCACACTGGTGAAGCGACATCAGTTACGTCAGTGTCTGTTATTTTCCTCAAGTGAATATTATCATGTAATTGACGAAAGCTCATGCACAACGTCTGTAAAAATTAATCAGTTATGTCATGAAATACAAGTACTATTGTCTGAAAATAATCGAGATTTGAATGGTGAAACAACAATCTTGGAATATAAGACATTAATTCATGAACATGTCACCTATTCAAAAGGCTCTGTCTTTGTCGTAAAAATTGATCATGAAGAAGAAGTTCCTTGTTTTGTTCATTTACTCCATATATTCAAAATCGACAATACTTGGAAACTTATAGTTGAACATCTTCATACTGTGGCCTTCGGTGAATCACTTTGGGCTTATGAAATTGAACAAACAAGTGCCCTGTGTTCAATGGATCCTAACGAATTGATCTCTCTATTACCAAAAGCTCTGGATATTTATTTTGTAAACAATCTATCTTATGTGAATATTCTTGCTCGTATAACAAAACACTAAATAACAAAACCAATCTGCAAATCTCAAATAGAGAAAAAGTACTCTTTCACAATGAAGTCTTTCAGATATGGTTATGTCTCTCTTTAGAATGCTTGTTTATGGATTCAGCTAATTTATTCTTTTTCTCTTTTTTTTAGCTGAAAGAACAAATCGACACCAATAAACAAGAAATTAATAGAATTTATTCATTGCCAGTTTTACCTGAAAAAGTACAATTAGCTATTGATGCTAAACAAACACAAACTTTTCGTGGGCATACGAATCATCGTCGATTATTACTAGATGCTATATACAATGATCTCACAAAGAAATATGCTCTGTTGTAAGTAAATTATCTGCTTCCGAATACATAGAAATCATTTTTCTCGCTCACTATCATCCCTCATGTAGATATCCGTCATCGTTCGATTATAAAATCGTGGCTCAAGCAATACCAGCTGCATTAGGTATAGAATCAACGAATAAAAGTGGATTGGTAAGTTCTCACACATACATTCCCCTTCCGTTTCTCCTACTTATTGAAATACTTACTTTTTTTCTACATGCTAGAGAGATTGGATTGAAACTATAAAAACAAATTTAAGCGCGAACGACGTCCATTACAAGAAACATCAATCATCGTCGGATAAACACAAGCGAAATTCGGAAGAAAAGTCGGAGGACGACCAGTGAAAAAAAGTAGTTTAGCAGTAGCTGAACGGCGTACAGAAAATTTAGTAAGAATATAGAATTTTGAAATTAGAATGTTTTTCAGAAGAATATCGAGCATTGCATCATGGTTGTTTTTTGCTTTAGGGATACATTAATGAAAACGACGATGGAGACGTTGAAGAATTAGAGATGGTAAAGAAAATGAAAGAAATGTTACAAATAGAAAATCCAGATGTACAACAGTTGATATTATATTGGAGGAAAACATTTCAATTGAAACGTTTGTTCATTCGTAACATAGAAGAACATTCAATTGAAGCCGTTCTGGACGAATATCGGGGATTTAAACAGCCGTTTTTGGTGAATATAATGAGGAGAAAGCGCGAGCAACTCTAATACATGTCGGATTCATTATCACTTTTCGCGGCTAACAAGCAACTTTTTTTATTATAGATTTTCCAGGAAATTAAAATGGCGAATAATGTCGACGTAGAAGAAAATGTTCAAAAACTGGCAACCGATTTACTGCCGAAGTTACCAAATAATTCAGATTTTTTAACCGGTAAGACTTCTCTAAAAAAAAAATGCCGACAAATGTGTACGTAGTATTTTCTGTGATTATTAGATTTACCATCGATTCGCTTAATAAAAATATTATCGAAATATTTCGGTGATTCATTTTTACATATTTGTTTGAAAAGATATGCATAATTATGTTTATCACACGTTAAAGAAAAAACTGATACATACCCTTTTTGCTTGAGACCAGTTAGTCTAGGTGTATAAAGAGCAAACAGATAAATGGTGCCTTTATTTTTGTTTGTTTTTACTTGTTGTCTGTTCCAAAAAAGGCTGATGAACTATGCTCAGTGTGGATCTAAAATACCTCTACTCTACTCTTTGCTTGAGAATCTATCGTACAACAGTTTTATTCGTCTTTGATCAACAAATTTCGTCTGTTTATTTCCAGGAACCAACATCACCACGACCATGTATTAAATTAATACCAACATCATTTGAATTGTATGTTGATCATAAATTAATCGTTGAAACAACAAGTACAAGCATTGGGGCTATTGTTATCTTTGTACAATATTTTCGAAATAAAACTTGGTGCCCATAATCGTGCTGTACATCTACTGTATGGAATCGTATTTCAAGATCCAGGTGTTTTAACAAAACCACTAAGAATGGAATTGAAAAGTTGGAAATTCGATATTAAAACTAAACCGAAAAGACGGCCAGACGAATCAGCTTCTACCCAACTACAGAGAAAAACTCGACGCTTCGAAGAAGAGGGCGATGATATAAACGAATGGGGTGATTTGAATAATACTCAGAATGTTAGTTCAGCAACACAACGAACTAGAATGCATTGTTCACCTCCTCCTCTTCCATCCATAACAACAGAAGAAGAAAAGGGGAAAAACGAAGCAGTACTATTGCCATCATTGTCTCCACAACACATAATCAACGTACACACAAGCAACAATACCGAATCACAGTTAGCTGCAAACGAAGAAGTCAACGAAACAATTAACGTCGAACCGTTATTATCGAATGCTCTTGTGACAACTCAAAATGACAGTCCTGAGTAACGTTCAAATCTAGTGATAGTCAATGATAAAAATCACTTGATCGAAAGCAATAATAATCCAGAATCATGTGAATCAGCAACATCAACATTAGCGAATAAAGAAAATGCGCAGCAAATAATGAAAGATCCAGATCAGAACCATCACGTATATCAAGACGATTACAAACAATTATTGATCGAAGTAAATTTTCAACGATTGATCAACTGGAAGATGATCAATCTACAACAAAAACTGTAGAACTAACCAAAGATGATAAACAAACAGTGACAAAAGGAAGAAAAAGAAAAGTACCAGTACCACCAGTAACCGAAAGACAGTTACGAGGAAGAAAATTACGAAAAACATAGTCTTTTTCGTAGCAGTTGTCTATTTTTATATGATATTTTTTTTGATTAACCGTTGAATAAACATTAATAAAGAATCAATGAAACGAAAAGAAATAAACTTTTGTCTGGAGTTAATATCAATATCGGGCTTCAGGCGTTTTGAAACAGTTTTGTACCATTAATGTAAGCATATACTGGTATTTGCTCGAAGCTCGTTTTTCCCCTGCTTTTGTATCAAGCAGAGCTGGGCAAGTCAGGACTTTTTCAAGCCTCAGATCAACGAAAAGATTCTGTAAGTCAGTCAAGTCAGAGAACCTAAAACGTTTTTCTCAAGTCAAGTCTGACTTGACTTGACTTGCCCAGCTCTACATGGGAAATGACTCTGCTTAGATCTTTAGTATAATTTCTTTGCTTTAAAAATTAGGAAAAATGCACTTTTAAAATAGTTTAAGATAAATGATTCTAATTAAATATAGAATTTTTCTGCATGGATTGTAGAGATCAAATGAAGAAATCTGTTTGTAATGTACTTGCGGTTACTACCGATATACAGTCATCAAGGTAGAGCTGTACAAGAATACATGAAATCAGCTAACTAACAAATACAAAAGGCCTGATTGAAGAGCTTAAGAGGTAGCGGAAATATAATCATTAAGTTTGTACGAAACCTTTTTTGACAAGGTTTAATACAAAACCCGGTGTACGAAACCTCTATTGACAGGGTTTAAGACGAAACCCGGCGTACGAAACCTTTTTCGTCAATACAAAAATAGAGGGTTTCGTAGCTGGACGACGGAAGCCAGGTTCGTACGAAACTTAAAAGGGTATAGAAATGGTTGCAATTCTCTATACCCTTTTAGGTTTCGTAATAAACCATTTTTTTTACAGAGTACTATGAACCTCTTAGCAGAAAATGCGGAATTTGTTATGGATTGCTAGAGTAGAGGAAATAATAATCTTATAAGGTCATCGCTAAACAAAACCTTTTTATTGTTCTAGCAGTGGAAGAACAAGACAGTAAAAAATACAAAACATTGATAAATGAATATTTTGAAAGCGGGTGTGATTTGGGTCCGCAGGCGGAATGCTTAGTGATCCGCGCGAGCCATTCAGACAGCACGTGCTAACTTGCCTAAGCTATATATTAATTTTCAGATTTGTATGTCACAATCTGTACATATAACCCATCCTTTCTTGTCACCAGCGTATGTTCTCTAAGTACATACACTAATGACGTTTGTATTCTGCTCTTAATAGGTATTTGCCATCATTGCGTGTACAGGTGCGTTCTCCTCGTTCGTTTGCTGCGCAAGCATGACAAAGGATGTTTTTCTATAAAAGGCGACTACAGCCATCATCGCATCATTCTATTTCATGATTACTTATTACTTACTTTTAAGCTATGGTTTCGTCAGAAGACCAATCTTCACTTCTTCTCTCCATTCTACGGTGTCCTATCACACTCGAATTATTTGTCGATCCTGTGCTAGCCGATGACGGTCACACATATGAACGATCTGCAATTGTCGAATGGCTGCGGCATCACAATGAAACGAGTCCCATGACCCGCAAACCAATCAAGGCGAAAGATCTGAAGCCAAATTTCATCGTGAAACAACTAGTCGAGCAATACCAACTACCAATTCAACACTATCAATTCCTGGTGATAATGTTCAGATATTCACACATTTACATATCCAATGTTTTTTCATCTCAGCAGAGTGTCCACAAGTTAACACGTGCTATATGAATGGCTCACAACAGCACGAACGATTGGATTGGAAAAGGAATTGATGATGTTTTGGGGCTCTGGGACGCTAATTACGCAGCAACATCAAACAAACCTAAATGGATTATTTGATAAAGTGAAAAAGTGGTCGCTGCTGTACAAGGCGACAGGAGACGGATTCGAATCAGTAAATTTTCATTCCCTTTTTAATAATCGAGGTCCTACACTCACCATCATTCAAGTCCGAAGTCGTTTACACCTTAAAAGCCGCGATTCACTCTTCGGTGGTTACACTTCCGTGGCATGGTCTTCTTCAGACGGCTATCATCGGGACCCGAATGCTTTTCTCTTCCTTCTCTCTCCAGAAAAGGCTACTCGTTTCAATATACGATCGGCGGAGGAAGTAGCCGTCATCCATAGTCGCATGGAAGGACCAATTTTTGGTTTAAATGACATTAACATTTGCCATCGGGCAAATATAAACAGATACAGCTATTCGAGATTTCCATCTTCCTACGAAGACATGAACGGGAAAGGACAAAAGACATTTGTACATACAAAGCAATTTTTTGTTAATG